TCTTTATTGAAGTTTCCTACTAGTATGATAAAGTCAATATTGATAAGTTGCAATATCTATTAGATCTAGACTAGTCAACCATACGAAATCAGACACTGCATTGTATGTCTTAATTCAGCTTCACTACTACTGTTTAGTGTCCCGTAACACTTTCATTGATAATTGTTTCCTTTTTTTAACAAGTGGTATATATTTGACAGTCTTTTTCAAAAGATGCATCATCCATTGCCATACGTGTTTGTATATTTCATTTTGTTAGAATACATACTCTGAAAGTCAATAAACATATCGTTGATATATAGTTATTTATCATTAGACGAAAACCAAGACAAGTGATATGTTGTTACATGTCATCAACTTGTTGGTCTTGCTTGGTTTAATGAAGCACAATCAACAGCTATATAAGTGTTTTACTAAGAGCCAATCTTCTGGCAAAGTTTGGAAATACCTATCGAAGAATTAGCTTTGGCTTTGTTACTTGGCTTTATACTACTCGAAATCATATCATATCATATCTTTTTTCTATCGGTTATTTTTATTCGTTATTCAATAGTAAAAATGAGCTCGGATATAAAGTTCAGACGTAACTTATTCTTGATGCTTTCGATGCAATATTTATCAAATATCAGAATCATACGATTACATCATAAAACGATATTGAATTGCTGTTTAATAACGCTAGGGATCCTGTCTTTGGAAATCTAGTAGATATTTTTATGTACTTTATTTCATGTTCGAAACAATTTTTCTATTCAAATCTCTTCATAAATTAACTTAACGTTTATCATGATGCAGCAAAGTTGAAAATAAAGCTAGTTGATCATTTTTGAATTCCTCCTACATACCAAAGAATATGCATTTGATTTTTCTATCCGTTACACTTACTTACCTAATATATTGATAGAATATATAATAAAGTCACATCTGTTACGTATATTTTATATAGAACCTGACTTGTTGTGAGTTTCACTTTGCCTAAAATATACTTTTATGAACATGATTTTAGTTGTCCAAACAAATATCGGGAAACAACGCTCGAAATTTACTACTTACTTTTATACGTCAGCAACACATCTGTTCGAAGCTTTTTCAAAGAGAAAAGGAAAGACAAATAATTATTTCTCAGGAAAAAAAATATGTAACACTAAAAAATCATTAGTATTTTGAATAAAACAGTTAGCCAATGGAATCAATATAGTTACTGATATTTCTCGTGTCGTTTATGATACTTAATGCTCGGTATTCTTTATATTATTCTCAAGACCGATGGACATCGAATTCTACATTTCGATTGTTTGTATGCTTATCTACTTGATTATAACACTGATACAGATGTACGGCATATTATTAATTATAATTTAATTTCTTATTATCAACGAATTGATCAAAATGAACAATAAGAACAGTTATCTGCTAGACTAAATACAAATGTGGAAAATAACATTAGTCTTGCTGAATTGTATCGAAAAGGTGTAACGAGTGCACAATTACTCGATTGGTCAGCACCGATTGATGTTGTAGAATGATACGAAAAATATGGTCAGGATTCAAATGAAATATTTCATAATTGTTCATCACCATAGTGTGGTTCTACATGTCAATATCGAATAGAGCATGGAACAACACTTTCGTTTAGTGATATTGTTCAATTCATTTTTGATAAATGTTTTCCAGCACCAATTATGACAGATTTCATTATTGGTACATGCTATCCATTTTTAACTGGTTGTTATCGTAGCCCATCATCAATATGTCTCGATTGGCGTGAAATATGTGATGGTGATTTTGATTGTATCAATGTAGAAGATGAGGAATTGTGTCAAATATTAGAAGTAAATGAATGTTCTGACAATGAATATTGATGTCACTTCGGTGGTCAATGTATTCCATTAATATTTGTTCGCGATGGACAGATAAGTGTAGA